ATCACTGCATTATTCTGAATGTGTTGATCAAACTAAAGTATCACTAGCTAAATTAAACTATCAAACTTAATGGACTAACTTGACAAACGTGAACATTTGTTATCATATTCTACCCACGCTCTAATGCTCACCCGAACATACTAATTCAATTTCATACATCAAATAGATTTGGAGCAATTAGTCATGTGAGGCTATTAAACTAAGGAGTAATACAAACAGACATAAAATGCCATGATTATCTAAGGTGACTAATAACTAAATCATGAAGTCAGTTCCAGTACTTGAAATTATCCCCTAAATTCGAAAGTTGACAGCGATTCATTTCCACATAAGCCTGTTGCACTATATACTATGCTAAAGTATTGGAATTAGGATCTAGGCAGATAAATCACACAGTCCAAACAAATCACACAATCCAGTACAGCCCGTGGAGTTTCAGTTAATACAGTTCAAAAGTTGTTTACACAATTCAATTATACAGTTAATACTATGGGTAAATGTAGAAAAGTAGACAAGATTAGCAGGTGAAGAATCCGTGAGGTTCCATTCCAACTTCTTAACATCATGTATTACACCACTAAGGTTCGAGACATGTACCTAGAATTCGAATCAAAATTGAAGAGATAGAGGTCAGTAGCAGCGACAATGACCCAGCAGCAATAACCAACAATCAATCAGTGACTCGGAACTGAAGTTTTGACCCAGAAAATGACGTTCCAACCAAATAACAGCTAATTTCAGAAGAGCTAAACAAGTAATAAACCAGAATAAACTTCGAACAACTCAGCCTTAACTTGAACTCCACTAGAATAGCTCAATCACATCCAAAATTGACTTAAATCGACATTCAGGAAATCCCTAAAACTTCAACCACCCGATATTGAACTAGAAGATGTAAATCAGATGCCAAAACTCGAAATTAACCTAAGGCTGTCAATGAAACAGTTTTTTTTTGGATCTGCTATAGCTTTTGTATTTTTTTTGAGATTTTTTAAGAAGAAAAGGAGATTTCAGATCTAGTGTTCATCTGAAATTCAAATTCCGTATTCTGGAAATATAAACTACTTTGAGGGGGAATTTTTTGGCTTTTTTTCAAAACTCCTGAATGAAGTAAGGGTCATGCCCTTTTATAGGCACAAATGAGGCCTATCAGATTTTCAGTTTTCTCTGTTAGTCCTTATTCATTTTCAGACTTGGTCCTTTATTTTTAAACTTGTTACACAAGTAAACCCACTATGTTTTCCTAAGATTCCAAATTAACCCACTCTAGAGGATTCTAGAGAATTCTAGTTCAGTTTTAGAAGGTCCTCTACCCTTGAATTGCCCCAATCACCCCTGCTTTATTCCTGAAATCACTAACCTACCCCAACCTGATTAAACCATGGTCAACTAACAAAACATGAATTTTAGCCGTAACAATGTAATCACTACCCAAACTCTTATTATTCTATCAATTAACGAACAATAATCAACATAACACTATGCTAAAACTAACATAAACCACTAATCACAATCGAAATGACACTGAACTTAAAGCAAAATCAGTCAGAATCAATTTGATAAAAAAATTAAAAAGAAATCATGACGTAAACTAGACATTTGTTCTAATGAAATACAAAAAAAAAAAAGAAAAGCAAACTCACTGAGAAAGAAATCCGGCCAGTTATCACTTTCCAATTCGGCCATTTCCGATGATATTTGAACGCCCTAGGTGGTGGAATCTTCATGAGGATGGTGAAGGGATCACATGGTTCCAATTTGGTTTGGAGCATTTAGGGTTTTGGCCGGAAAACATTCAAATCAATATTCGAACGGTTCCGGCCATATTCGAGGGTCAGAACCTTGGGGGTTTGATAGAGGACACGGAGGCGGTCTTATGGTGTAAATTTGGTGGTGTTTGGATGAGATGGTGTCATGACCGGAATCTTTTCCAACGAAGATTCGACGAGCTCCGGTAAGATTTGAAAGAAAAGGAGGGTGGATTCAGATAGAGGAGGAGAAGGGGAGTTCATGGTGTTATTTTGGTGGCATTTGGTGGTTCTCCGCCGCCGTGGATGATTTCCGGCGGCGGAGCTAGGCGGAGCCGGCGGAAGAGGAAAGGGTACGAGGAAGAAAGAAATGTTTTTAGGGATTCTAGATTTTTCGGACAATTTTATCAATTATGTCAAATGAATTTGGACCGTTGGTTTGAAGATGAAGGGCGGTCAGGATTATTTTGACACCAAACGGCGTCTTTTTGGTCACACTGGGGGACGGACCGGGTAGGGGGAATTGGGCTGTGGACTGGGTGGTTTAATGAGAAGAAGTGGGTTGGGCTGGGGTTATTTTTATTACTCTTGGCCCAAGTGTAAAAAATCTGATCTCTTTTCAAAATCTTTTCTTCTTTCTTTTTCTTTTCCCTATTCTTATTATTTTTCTTTTAATTTGGAACTAACAAAAATCTAGATTAAATCCTAAAATTAAAGAGAAGCTAATTAAACCCAAAAATGACAATTAGCACAATAAATTAACACAAAATTACTCAAAAATCAAAAATCAAAATTAAAAGTGCAAACTACCCTATACTTTTGATTTTTCCTTTTATGAAATAATTAATTTTCTAATTAATCCTAAAATATAAAATTAAACCCTAAATGCACATGCCAAATGTATTTTTATATTTTACATATGAATTAAAATGCACAAATAAATGCAAACAAGTATCGGAAAATAACACAAAAATTCACAAAAATTGTAAAATAATAAAGAAATCATCTTGTTTGAATTTTTGGGAACAATTCACTTAGGGCAAAAATCACGTGCTCACAGGATTGAAAAGAGGGGATTGAATAGATGAAGCAGGATTGGAAACGGGAGGAGAACCAGGAGGAGTGTGCAAAGGATCATAAGGTTCAGCTGGAGAAGTAGATCTATGAATATCATCATTAACAGTGGGTAATACAAGTTGGGAGAAGAAAGAAGGGTTGTTAGGATGGACATCATTAGTGGGTAGAATAGGAGTAGTTGGTCGAAAGGGTGCAGAGTTAGTGGTGTCAGTAAAAGGATCTAACACAACACTAAGAGTAAGAACATGAGACTGTGTGACATGACATGGAGAAGGAGAAGATTTATCAAAGGGAAACACGAGCTCATGAAAGACAATATCTCTAGAGATGAAAAATTTGTGAGTATCTAAACAATACAGCTTATATCCCTTTTTGGAAAAAGGGTATCCTAGAAATACACACCTCATGGCCCTTGGTTGGAGTTTATCCCTTTGTGGAAATTGGGACAGTTGCATAACATAAGCAACCAAGAGATCTTAGGTAAGGATAACATGGCTCTTTCCTATATAATACTTCAAAAGGTGATTGTTGTCGAGTAATTTGGAAAGAAGGCTATTGATGATGTAAGTGGTTGTTAGTAGCCAATCACCCTAGAATCTAAGTGGTACCTTGGATTGAAAGAGGAAGGCTCTAGATGCTTCAAGCAAAGTTCTATGCTTCCTCTCAACTACACCATTTTGTTGTGGTGTGTTAGGGCAGCTGGTTTGATGAATGATGTCATTATCAGAGAAGAAAGAAATGGTTATCAGACAGAAGCCAAGCTCTAATGCATTGCCACTTCTAATGGTTTGAACAGGCATATTGAATTGAGTTTTGACCATGAGAACAAAGGTTTTTAGAAGAGAAAAAACATTACTCTTAGACCCCATTAAGTGAGTCCAAGTAGATCTACTAAAGTCATCCACAATTGTTAGAAAATATCTAGATCCAGAGTAAGTAGGGGTGTGATAAGGTCTCCAAATGTCAACATGGATAAGTTGAAAAGGTTTATTGGTCTGAATACTACTGTCAGGAAAAGGCAATCTAGTTTGTCTAGCCATAGGACACACATTACAAGGAAAATAATATTTAGGAGGAAGAGAAATAGCAGAAGTTTTCATTCTCACAAAAGGAACATGTGCATGTCTTTGATGCCAAACAATGTCCATATCATTTTGTGCAGCTTTATTACAAGTGGAAATGGAAGTGTTTACAGATGTGAAATTGTGAATAGAAAGATCAGAACATAAGCTGCAGGAATTAAAATTTTCAATAATAGAGTTCTGTGGAAGGGATGTTAAAGGCGACTCTGACTTGTAGAGTCCATCATCCACTCTACCAAGCTCCAGAATCTTCTTCAGAAAATGGCCCTGGATAAAACATCCAATATGAGAGAACATAACTATACAACTTAATTGATGTACTAGTTTATTCACAGATATTAAGTTGTGCAAAGAAATAGATTCATTTAAGGAGTAAAAGCCTGTACTTGTGACCTTCACTTTATAGCCATTTGGAAGGGATACTAGATAAGGAACAGTTAAGGGAATAATATTGAAAAGGACATCTTTATTTGAGGTCATGTGACTACTGGCACCAGAATTAATTATCTAGATTAATTTTGTAGAGTTGGTGGTTTATGTTAGCGTACAATAATTAGAACCATACACTATAGAATCAGACAACAATATACCAGCAAAACTGGTAGATGCCATGAGATAAGGTGGAGAGATTGAATCCAATAGTTGAGATTGCTAAAGCAGATTTATCAACTGAGCGTACTGCTGCTGTGTTAGACCAGGTACTGTAGACCTTTGACCCTCAGAAGACACAGTAACACCACTGTTAGATTGGGAGTAAGGCCAGATGAATGAGAGTTGGAATCAGTGGGAAATTCACTTTCTACGGTCACATTAGCCACAATTCTCTAGCCTTTGGTAAACTTGAAATTAAGAGGAAACCCATGAATCTTGTAACACTTATCAACTAAGTGCCCAGGCTTCTTGCGGTATTTACAAAAGAGATTACTCGGGTTCCCCTTAGACGAGTCAAAATTAACCTTTTGAGTATACTATCTTTGAGGCTGAACCAAGGGTGTTTTGTTGATGAGGCCAGGCACATTAAAAGATGCAGATTCAGAACTAAATCGTGAACCAGGATTCACTTGTCTTTGCTTTTCATCCATAGTAGGATGTTCTAGGTGCTATCAAGTGATGGAATTGGTTGGATCATCAGAATATTACTCTTAACCTCAACATATATGTCATTTAGACCTATAAGAAACTGGTGGACTCTATCCTCTTCTTCCTCTTTCAGAAGTTCAACTTTAATAGGACATGCACAAGCATTTACCTTATTACTGCGCATTACCCTTAGTTCATCCCATAAATTAAGTTTTTTGAAATAAGAACTTATGTCAAGAGCTCCTTGCATAGTGGAAGCAAGCTCTTTCTTTATCTCAAAAACTTTGGTCCCATTAACTGCCCTATATATTTTATTTAACTGTTCCCAAATACTTTCAGCAGTTTCTGAGTATTGAACACTCTCAGCAATTTCTGGAGAAAGTGAACTGGTCAACCAAGAGATGATCTTATTATTACATCTGTTCCATTGTTTAATATGTGGTGAATTTTCAGCAGGTTTGGGACAAGTACCATCTACGAAACCAATTTTATTTCTAGCAGATAAGGACACAATGACACATGTTTTCCACCCACCAAAACCAGTATCAGAGAACGGTGTGTGGACTAAGGAAATTCCAGGTATATCAGAGGGATGGAGGAACATTGAATTAGAGGAATCAATGACATTGTTGTTAATGGTTCCTTCAATATTACCCATTGTACAAAATACACCAAACATAGAAATCAAAAGATAATAACCCTCAGAGTTCGAGGAGCAGTCAACAACGTTATTGTAAAATCTCAGAGTTTTGAGAAGAAACGATATTACTAAGCTCTTTTGCAACCGAAAAAAGTACGACCTTGATAAACACGAGAGTATCCAGAAAAACCAGAAGTCGAGAAGACAAGTGAAGGCTGGAACTTGAAACCCTAACTTCAAAAATTGGAACTTGAACCCTAGCTTCGACGACTACAATTAGCGGCTCGAAAACAACAGAAAACCTCAAATCGACTGAGGTATTGAAGATATAAACCGTAAATAGAAGAGAATTCAAAAAAACGGGGAAAGGATTTTGCGAATAAAAAAACGATTTTTAATCTTCTTCAAAATTCATCAAGGGTACCGCCGCTGGATTCACCGTGACGAGATCAGTCAGGATCCACGCTCTGATACCATGTGAACATCCTAAATCGAGCAGGATTTGTGAAAGAACTTGGTTAGGGTTTTCAGTAGAATATTCGAGAAGACAGAGAAATGGGAGAAAATATTTTGTGGTTGAAAAACTGAATTAGCCATTGGGCCCTTTTCAATTTATATGTAGTGCATTTACAAGGAAGTGCTCTTTACAAAAGAAGCCTAACTAGACAAATACAACTAATACATGTATGATTATGTCCAAATACATTCCTATACCATATATGAAACCTTATTACCCTCAATGTTTAAGGTTTGACATAATTACATTTAGTATACCAAATTATCAATTCTATACCATAGTGTATTTTAAGGGTACAATTAATGTAGCGTATATCCCTCCTTAATTCAAGGTACCGTATATCCCACCCCTTCCCACGTTTCTCTCTCCCAACCGTCACCCTCACTCACGTTTATGTACTGTTATTAAACATAAAAACCTATGATTATGGAAACATAGATTTGCAGCATATTGATGTAGAAACACTTAAATCTTACATTGCAATTAGGAGCAGCAATCATTCAAGTTCCTGGTTACACTCATTGTTATTGAAAATCTTGTGAACTGCAGTCAATTACCAATACTTTATTTCCCAAAAAAATAAAGACAAAGAAGCTCGTGTTTAACTTCAATCAGCACCTGATTTGAATTTTCTGTTACTCTACATCGAGCTTTAACATGCATTCACCTGCCGCTAGCATTCAAATATATTCTGCCTGTTGACACGAAAGCATAAATCTAACCTGCTAGTGCGTGGGATTGAGTTTCGATTGTAGCCTGTAGCTTAATTGGTATTTTCGACATTGCTACAATTTCTCATTCAATTGTAGCTTAATTGGTATTTTCGACATAATTGTGTTTTTTGCAGAAGATTTGTAGAAGTTTTAGTCGTTTTTGATTTGTGAAAACAGAAAACAAAGCATCTACAATCAGAATACAAATAATCTACAATTTATTTACAAAATATCTACTAACTGGGTACATTGAATTTTAATATCCCAATTCCCATTCAATTGTAGCTTAATTAGTATTTTCGACATAATTGCGTTTTTTATAGAAGATTTTGTAGAAGTTCTAGTCGTTTTGGATTTGTGAAAATAGAAAACAATACACCTACAATCAGAATACAAATAATCTACAATTTATCAACAAAATATCTACAAGCTAGGTACATTGAATTTTAATATCCCAATTCCCATTTCAATTGTAGCATATTTGGGATTTTCGACATAATTGCCTTTTTTGCAGAAGATTTGTAGAAGTTTTAGCCGTTTTTTGATTTGTGAAAACAGAAAACAAAGCATCTACAATCAGAATGCAAATAATCTACAATTTATCTACAAAATATCTACAAACTGGGTACATTGAATTTTAATATCCCAATTCCCATTCAATTGTAGCTTAATTGGTATTTTCGACGTAATTGTGTTTTTTGCAGAAGATTTTGTAGAAGTTTTAGTTGTTTTGGATTTGTGAAAACAGAAAATAATGCATCTACAATCATAATACAAATAATCTACAATTCATCTACAAAATATCTAGAAACTGGGTATATTGAATTTTAATATCCCAATTCCCATTCGATTGTAGTTTAATTGGGATTTTCGACTAGACATAATCTTAAAGATTCATTATAGTATTCTCAATTATAGATTGAGGGAAATATGTTAGAAAGCTACATCAACTACTTTGTCGAGTTTGAAAAATACTACCTAGTGACATCAACTATTAGATTTGCCAACTTATTATTTTTCATGGAAAAAAAATATAACGATATTTTCAACTACAAGTTTAAGTGAGACTATAAGCAGAAAGATTAGGTGAAAATAGGAACAATCTAAATAAGGAATTTTAATGCTACATGATTCCTTATTTAATGAAATATCTGGAAGAGTATTTAACTTCCATGATTGTAGCGCGCCTAAATAGGAATATCTAGAAGAATATTTAGTTCCAGATTTGTAGCACGCCTAATTAGGAAGGAATCGGCTCCTAATAATTGGTATTTAATGAATGGTATAATATTTGTAGAATAACTGTGAACATGGCAGGTAAATATGAAACTATGCACATTTTTGGTAATAAGGTTTCATATATGGTATAGGAAGGTAAAAATCCCATAAAAATAGTAGCCGGCCCAGTCATTAAGTCTTCCTTATTGGGCTTGAGGCCAAGCACTCAGATAGTCCAACAAAGTGAATAGCCGTAAAATTTTTGGAAACAAATGTTAGATCATACTAACTTTTGATTGAATTTAAGATGAGGAAAATGCGTCCGTAAAACTAAACACATAGTTTTGTGTATTGTAAGTAGAGGGGAAAAACTTGTGCACGCTGTTACTTGGCTTAAATAATTCAAAAAGAGAAAAATATAGATTCCTATATATTAGAATTTTCTGTCTAGTTCAATAAGAAAAAATTTAATAATAGAAATTCTAGTTGATTTCATAATCCTAAATATCTAAAAAATAATTTAATTATAAATTTCTCTTATAAAAATTTATTTTTAAGGGATAAAAGAGGTGAATGATATTTCGCTAGGAGACTTTATGTCTTTAATATAATATAAAAATAGTATAAAAATGGAAGATACGCAACCATTAAGATTATTCCCTGAAAGGTTGTATCCCTTAAGGATTATAAAAGATTATTTGGCGGAATAAAATTACACTAATTTCTTTTCCCTAACGGATAGAAAAAAGAAAGGGAATCTTACAAAAATATCCCAAATAAGTCTCAACTTACCAACCTCTAGTCATTAATCATAGACTTACTAAAACTAGCCAAGCACATATAAAAATTAAAAAATCAAATAAATAAGGTTCTTTCTATCTAAGAATCACACGCAAAGATCTCCTTCCATATTTTTAAGCGTGATCAGCAAATATATATATATATATATATATATATATATATATATATATATATATATATATATATATATATATATATATATATATATACAAGATCCCAAAAATTTAAGCAAAAAAGACCTTTTTCAATGAGGATTGAAATTCATTGAAAACATATAGATGAGTCAGTAGACAAAATTTGAGGAAGATTGGAGGTGATTTGGACAGATATCAAAATTCGTAGTTGAAATCAAATTCAAAAATTCTTCTGTGACACATCTATCAAACATGTATCGTGTCGATCTCACGCAGGTATACATGTGATATACATATGACATACATTTGATACAAATATGATACATATGTGATATACAAATGATATACAGTGTGATACACATATCATTTTTTTCATGTTCTTCTTCTACTTCGAATTTTCAATTCAAACTACTTCAAAACTCCACAAAATCATCCCAAATTTGAGATTGAAGATCCTTAAGAGGTATCCAATTTATTCTAATAACACCCAATCAAAAGAAAGCAAAAATTTAACTTTTTTGGCTACATATAGCTAATTGGATAATATTGGTAATATTTGGATAATATTAGTAATATTTTACGAATTACTAATTTTTGTAATAAGCTACTTATAAATGGGCATAGCTGGTAGTAAAAATAAAAGCACATTGGCTAGTGATTGTGAGGGCGCAACTCTTGACTGGAGGGGAAAACAGAAATAAATTTCTCTTTTTTTTCTGTATTCCTTAAGAGAAGTAAAATTATTCTTCTCCGTTGTTCATTGAAACATTCTTCTCTTAACTCAGGCAAATACGATTTGATTGTGCTTTCCAATGTAATTCTTGTATGTATGTGGCATTTGATTATATTGACAACTAGTGAAACAATTATAGAGAATCCTGAAAAACTTGTGTTCTTGAATTTTTCCTTCGATCTCTACTGCAAATCAAAAGTAAATTCTTTTCATCTGAATCCATGCGAGTATGCAAAATACCCATTACGTTTAAAATAATTACTCTTCTTTACTCATTTGCAAACTAGTTATATTATATACCTACCCAGTCAAAACTAATTACCCAACCTACCCATCCATCCCGACTTTTTTTTACCCATTTGGCTTAGCTTTTGCTTGGCTTGCCTTACTTTGATTTGGCTTAACCTGGTTTAAATTGACATAGCTTAGCTTGGTTTAGTACTTATTTTGACTTTATTTGGTTTGAGGTATAAAAAATGAGTAGGGAAAAAACTTATGGGCAGGGGCGGGTAATAAGTTTCTGCCGCCTGGGTATTTCCCAAAGAACCCCAAAAAATCGAGAAAATTGAAAACTCAATCCAGACGATATGATACTCTAATTAATAGTCCACTGATTAAAACAAGTTATCTGGTCACTTTAGGCCCTATCTTTTTCTTTGTTGGCTTTTGGCGGAAATAATTGGGTGGCATGGCCATTTTTTAGCAAATAAATTACAGAAATATGATATTTGTTGGGATAATCTTAACTTTTGACACCCGCCTGCCTCAGGGGCAGAACTTTAAGGTAAAAAATAAAAGTGTTGTTCATGGGACAAGTGAGTGACAATACTTGTTAAACTTGAAATTTTGCTTATAGGCAAGCAGGGATAAAAATTCGAGATCATCCACTTTGAGGGGGTATT